CCATTATGTTCAGAAAATAAAATGTATTTCAGTGTCATTTTCATCTACCAATAATTCTCAAAACAGGCACTACCAACCTAAGCGTACAAAATGCATACATATATTTATCACAATTGTGTTTATTTTTATGAACTTTTTATTTTTTCTCTTAATATTCTGCTCTTTACTTACTTACTCTTCTTACTTACGTGGATACAAATTAATGAAATTATATGCGTGGTTATAAATCATTTATTTTTTGTACAAAATGAACACAAAACCCTCTTCTCGGTCTTTTTTTAATATATAAAATATAAATCAATTACGGAAAACCATGCGCTTATGATCCATTTCCATGCGATTTAAATGTCTCCGCCCCTTTGCTGTGACCTTATAAACGAAAGCGGTCCAGTTCAAATTTCCGGAATTTATGGGTTAAAAATGTTCTTTTCAATAATGTTTTATGTAATAATTGAAATATGTATGACGAAAAATTATAGAAATAAATGTCAAAAGCATATGCTTGCACATTAATCATAGATTAATTCAGCGATTTATTGTAACGTTAAGCTTCAAATGGGTAGCCGAAAAGGTTCCAAATAACGTCCTTAAGTGCAGTCATTCTTTATTTGCATATGTAATTTGGTTAATACATGTATGTTGTTCTGCATCTTTTTGACGTACGCATCTTGTATAAACTGTTCATTTGTTTTACTGAGGTAAACCGGATTGAAATTTAAACCAGTTTGAAAAACTAGTTTTAAACCTTAAACCAAAACCTGAACCAGTTTATATGCAACAAATTCGCCCATGATCATTTAGGCCTACATTAGAAGAATGTATTCACATTTAATCTGTTCTGTCACCGACAAATGAAGCATTACTTGGATTAGGTCACCTTCTCGTATGATGCTTTATTCAGGTCCAGGAAAATCACTACATTTAGCTATATAGGTAAATCTACCTATATAGCTTTATTTACCTATAAAATATAGCTATATTTAGCTATTTTGGAATAAGTTTCAGTTTAATTAAAAGCAGACAAAAAGTCGCATAATGAGTCAGTATTAGTTTTCAACTTTGAAATGGACTGAAAACAAAGTTCACCAAAAACCCACTTACAAAAATGTTTCTCCTTTTGTGCAATTGCAATCAAAGATCTAAAAGTTTTGGGGCTATGTGTAACAGTTACTCTGTGAGTAAGCAGCTACTTTAACAAAGAAAAGCAGTTTTGGTCAACAAGATAATTGATTGGTAATAATTGAGCACAATGCAAGGCAATCACACTTAGTCATGCCTCACCGCACTTCCAGCTATCCAAACAATAGAGATGCATTTTTTGGTTAAAAAGTGTTAACTTTATAAGAGGCAATGTTTTTTACTATCTATGCCCTAGGTTGTTTTTATCAATCCTTTTGAAAAATATATTAGCCATAATTTACATAGGTAAATAAAGCTATATAGGTAGATATACCTTAATAGCTAAATATAGTGATTTTCCTGGACCTGTTATTTATCAGCAATAGGACCGTTTAAATGATGATACCATCCATTTAATGATGATAAAGTTGTAGAAGAATCACCCCTTTACTGATTTCTCGCATCTCGGAAGTTAGAGCTGAAACAAAGTTGTGAGAGTAAGGCATGCAGTCTTCGCGCTTAACTTTTTTGACTACAAGCCCGTAGTGCAAAAGAAAGTATAAAATTTGGTAGCCCAAACGAAATTTTACTAGCGGTAAGCCCAACTCAATTAAAGTAATAAGATTGCGGAACATTAACTGGCAAAATTGGAAATATACAACTTACGTCATTTGTATTTGTTACAATCAAAACATTCAGTGATAGACAACGAAATGGGCGGGTACAATTCTATGCGGACGTTTGGAAAACATCGGATTGAAATTGCAGATCGAAATTCATTTTCAATCCACCTAAGATGTTTTCAAAGCAAAGAGTGAATGTATGATCCAAAAATCAACTATATTTCAACTCCAAAATACATATTGTTTGAAGTTCACATTATTATGAGTTTTAGCTTATAATTTAAGAACGCGAAAGATCATACAAGACAAAGATTATTTTTCAGGAGATATTTGATTCTAAAAGGGGGGGGGGGGGGGGGTAAAAAATTGTTGAGTCAGGTCATGGCTTAACATGACAATATATTTTATTTCTAGGATTATAAGAGTGCATGAGTTTTATACTTATTCTCACTGAAAACTGTTGGACAACTTTATTTAAAAATCGTTAACCCCCCCCCCCCCCCCCCACCAACCAACACAAAGATATACATATATTTACCAAATATTTGTCCTTAAATATTTATTCATTTAAAACTCTGGACAAAAAAAAAATTCAAACTGTACCAAAATTGAAATTATTTGTCTTCTTGGTCAATCAGTAATAATGTGCCTTCTAGCGTAGCTGAGGTGGATTGAAAATGAATTTCGATCTGCAATTTCAATCCCATGTTTTCCAAATGTCCGCGTCGAATTGTACCCGCCCATTTCATTGTCTATCACTGAATGTTTTTATTGTAACAGGTAGAAATGACGTATGCTGTATATTTCCAATTTTGCCAGTTAATATTCTGCGGTCTTAACAAATGCACAAATGACGTTTTAATAAGTGCAATCACATTTGCATTTCTGATTTAATTCATTTGAATCACTAAATGTTCAAAACAACTTTAATTATTTTAAATTCTTTGCTGCATCAGTCAACAGTGTGAGTGTGACATGCACACATCTTTAAATGAAAAATACTTACAGTAAGATTATGAAAATTTAACTATGTATCTAGGTTTTAGAACAGTTTATATCATATATTTATAACTCTGACTTTTATTTATTTATAAGAAAATAAGGGGTATTTCGGTGATTCCTAGGGGAATTTCGGTGATTCCTAGTACCGGTGTATTTAGTCCATGGTCAGATTTCCAGCCAATTTTGCTGACGCGTTGATTCTGCGTACTTCATTTTGTGAACCAACTTTTATTTCTTCTGTAAGAGCCCTCCTGTTCGTGAATCATGGACCTGGGATAGCCCATCCTGATATTTTATAAAAGGAATCATACTTAAAATTTGCAACTGGAAATTACTAAGAAGCCCATCGGGCATGCGCATAAATAATTTTTGGTAGCCCGATTTTACTAGCCTCGGTCATCGGACTACCACTTAATTTCGAAGACTGGGCATGCAGTGCAGCGACACTAGCTGGTGTCGCTGAATTCTCACTTTTCAATATGGCCTCCGCTCTGACTCTCCCCTGCACATGTCACAATATGAAAGCAAGGGTTATAGTCAGAGGCATCTTGGTTCATATTAAACCCACCCTATCATGTTGTTATATTTCTGCCATCAATCGTCAGACATTTATGTAAACTTGTCAGATGATTATTATGACTGTGACAACCATATACTCAATGTCTGGTTATTAAAGAGTTTTTAATCTACTAATTTACATCTGCTTACCAGGTCATCCCTAAGAATTGAAATAGAAGCGACATGTAGGGGACATTGAAAAAGTTAGTAGAAGGGGGTCTTTGGTTCCTCCCAAACCAGGGTTTGAGGGTGAATACTGAAATAAACGGGGTTGCAATAACTTCATCATATTCAGGGAAATGTACCAGCTCCCTGCCCCTGGGTCTTCGGGACAATCCTGTTCAACTTTTTTTCCTGCCAAATCTGTGTTTGATCAATCAGCTGATTCATTTTCTTACCAAGAAAGTTACATGTAGTCTTATTTGATACAACATTAACATGAAATATGAAGAAATGATCGTTTAACTTATCATATATCATATGTTCGCAAGATCCCTCAAAACATTCAGAACTTTGTTTTCTATTGGGAGACGGCCATGTTGAGTGTCCACCCTATTCATTGAATCATTTATAGAAAGTAAAAGTTTTAAAGTGGAAATTTTATTATAATTATGTCATATATGAGATCACATATGTACCAGGTACATTAGCAATAAATAAATAATTATATATCCTTCCTTAATGAACCTAATTGATTTTATGGAAATGTTAGTCTGACAGATTTGTATAAAAAATATCTTTTCATTTAAATAAAGTATATCCTGAAAATTTCATGGTTAACTTTGTTGAGAATAAAGTACAAATTATAGATCGTATGATTGATTGTATGATACCAATTCAATTTGATGATAGATTGTAAAATTTGGTTCAATTTTGCAACACTAAAAAGACATGTACAGTTAAATTTCTCTACTTCAACATGTTTGTACACCACTGATTCCATCAAAATTGGTAGGATTAGACAACATTCCTTTGTTATTTTGTGGAAGGACTTTCTTTTTTTTTTTTTATACATGTTACAGTAGAATATACTAAAAGAGGTCGGATCACTTTATGCATAAAATAGCCCTGTAGATATACCAATTGATTGATCAACACTTGATTTTCTATTTGAAGCATTAAAATAAGATAGAAACTTAGTGCTTTCATATTCTATTGAAAATTTTCTCCAAAAAGTCCACATCTTGGAAAACTGGCTTTATGAAGTTGCAATGTTCTTGAATTTTTAGGTAAATATAGGTATAATTGAGTACTTTCAGTGAAGAAAAATAATATGAGCGCAATCTCTGATCTAAAAAATTAAAACGTGTCTTTTAATCCTCAGAAACTGTTCTATCATTTACTAGTTGCATATTTTAGATCAGAGGTTGCGCTCTATATTAAATCTTGAAAAAAAGCTAAAAATTGGCCGTTTTTGAAGACTTTTTCAGAATATGAGGAAATTGACGCATTTCGTGACATCATAATGCATTTACTAGCCAGAAAATTACGTTATTTTTGATAGAAACGCAGTTACCAATGATCTAAGTGATATTCAATGCATTGTTAACTAAAACTATGCAGTTTCATTTTTTCAGAAATTCACAGGGCCAAATAAGGCAAAAGTGAACCTAGCTTGCTTAATGTACCAGACATTTCAGATAACTAAAATTAATATATTATGGAATATGTAATAACTATTTCAAATTTTCTTTTTGTAGGTAGAAGTGGGTGAGAGGGAAGGCATGCAGTTATCCAAAGGATACAGATTGTAAGTTTTATTTTAAAGTCTAAAGCCATAATGTTTACATGTAAGATAATTCAAGTGCTTTATAAAAATTGATTGTTGTGACCTGCATTATAATAAAGATATCCCAATATCTCAATTACTATATAATTACTAAAGAATTATAAGAATAATTTCCTATTTAATTTTTCTTCTATTTTCAGGGAATATGGAGATTCCAAACATGAGATTCCTCAAGAAGTTGTGTTTAGTGAGGAGGGAGAGGTAAAATTACAGTTACTTAAAGCAGGCGTGGACACAGGATTGTTTTTCCAAGAGGGGGGGGGGGGTCCACCCAATCCAAAAAAAAAAAATATAACCCACAATTTTTTCCTACAAAATTTAAGCATTTTAATTAACCTATTGACCACTGTTGACAGGATGAGAAAATCCAAGAATAAAAAAAAAATGTTTGGAGGAGGTTAAGAAAATTTTTAGTTCAGCCATATAATTTAGGTAGTCAGCGGAGAGAGGATTTTTTTTAAGATGGCCTTCAGACATGTTACAAGTCACAATATTATTGGACAATGTTAACACATTTCTTGTTCTCCAGTGTGTGTTGCATTAAATTGTAGAATTTCTGTTGTAATTCTAGTTCTCACTTTGAAAAGTGTTATGTTCATGTACATTTTTTATGCACTAACTTTGGCATTTCAATTAATGTTACCTTTTTATAAAATAAGTCTTATACTTAAAATATAAACTTTATTCTGATTCAGAGTCTGAGGTTAGACTTAAAGAGTGATGAGGACATCAAAAGTCTGGTTGAAAATTGTTCAGGCGGCGAGGGCACATATTTGGATGAAGTACAAGAGGACAATGTTGCAGGCAATTATCTATATTATTTACATATTCTTCATGACTGTTCATTGTCTCTTCAACAGATCATTTTTCAATACACAGTCATGCCGTCTTGATCCAAATGTTTCTGAGCAAATTCTTCAGATTATTGAAGCATCTGGACACTGAAATGTGTTTAGTAGTATGTATGTCTCAAATTCTAAATATTAAATGAAGGGTTATCAAAAATTTTGGTCTCTAGTGTGCCTTAAAAAGCTAATATCAATTATATAAACTGTAAAAACTAATTACAATTTTTCGATCCTATAGACGAATTTCACATTTACAAAAGTTATTCACCTATGCGGGGTCTAAAACCTTACCAACTTTATCGCTCAGTACATCTATCTTAGAAATAAAATTTGAATGAATATAATCATTATGTTTTTCATGTTGCCCCATACTCTGGCAAAACAGGTAAAGATCGAAAATGTCTGATATGGTTTAAAGATTTTAAAAATATTGACAGGTAACTTACAAAAAAGGTAAGTTACTTACAAAGGACAAAGTGGGAAAAATGAGCCGTCACAATGATAAAGGGAGATAACTCTAGACTTAGAAAATAATGTGAAATTTGTCTGTAACACTAATCAAGTCTTACGATACATAAAATTTGGGAAACGTGTAAGCTAGCATACATTTATATGTACAATATATAATAAAATATTATAAAAATTCACTAATATGCAAAATGTATTTTATCTGAGTAATGGAATAGAAGTTTTACTTGCATAGTTTGACAGTTACATGTAACTGGCAAAGTGGGTATTCTAGACAACACTTTTTATTTTCATTGTCTTATTTATCATAGAAAAGCCTGAGATTTCCTTGGAGGATCAGCCAAGAATTTCAGATAAAGATGTTGATGAAATGGCAGCAGCTTCAGGTAGGAATAATATACTTTAGTTGAAGATGGAAGACACTAGTATTCTGAGATTTCCTTGTGTCCTAGAGTCCTTGTGTCTCAAAAATAATGACACAGTTTTTTGCTTCACATTTGTACACATATGTAGGCTTTTTCATTTTAAGCTCAATCAGATTGAACCCAATTGACATACAACTACCTAGAGGATGCTTTAATTGATTTCTACTATTTATTTCTGTATTTATCATATCAACTTTTATATGTATCTGTTTAAATATTGCAAATCTTTCTAAAAGATAGCTTTTCTGTGTGTTCAGAATTTGTCTGTTGTCTGTTCATTGTCATTATCAATGTATACATTTCACATTTTCATTTCTTCTCAAGAACCACCATAATATACCATTATTAAAGGGTATTCTACTGTGTTCAAAATGAAGGCACCACCCTATTCTAAGGGAAGGTAACTAAGAAATTGTGAAAATGGGATCTCTCAAGATCAAAGATGAAAATTATTTTAAAGAGTCTTGAAAAATGTAGATTCAACTTTGAACAAATCATCACCCCTAGGGGTTGATGAGACCATTTTATTGGGAAAAAGTTTAACATTATAAAACAATATAAGCAATATAAGGAAATGTCTTTTAAATCTTTTTCAAAAGAACAGCACAGTCAAGATTGGTGATATTTATATGGAAGCATCCTTAGGTAGTGTAAATTAAAAAATATATATATCAAATCATATATTCAAGGAGTAGAGTGGGGCCACAATGGGGGATCAAAGTTTTTATGAAAGAAAATAAAGGAAAAAATCTTAAATTCTTAACAGGATAGCTATGTAAATTAATATTGACATGTTAGCATCCCTGTGCAGTGATGATTCCAGTGTGTTCCAATCATGACTCCTAGGGATAGGAAGGGGCCACAATT